AACCATCAAAATCCAATCCCAACACACATCAAATGTGTGTCTAAATATGGACTTATCACCCTCTGTCCCGGAAACAAATTCCCGGGTTGACTTTCACACATTTTAAGGAAATAAAGTTACTGAGGGGTAAATTTTACTGTTTTGACACTGTTTCGACACTGTTTTGCACTGTTTTGATGTATATAATTTGCCAAATGAGGAAATGAGAAGTTTATTTTGGGACATCCAAATAAAGAAAGTGAGAACTTGTTTCCGGGACAGAGGGAGTACTTTTTCCCCTGATTCGTATACTAATATGGTAATTCTTAGTATACACGTTTGGGTGTGTACACCACTGTGTAGACCCTCGAATTATATGTGTGCACCTCAATTCCCAATATTGAACCAATTACTCAAAAAGTGACCACTTTTAAAACGAGGCAAAAAAGTGATCAAGAAGGTCATATATTTGAAAAAACGTAGTGTCTGCCAAATTTGAATGTCACTGTTAAATGTTATGTCACTGTAGCCGCCGCCCGTGTCACGGTAGCCACCGCATGTGTCACTGTAGCCACCGTTCGTGTCACTATAGCCACCGCCCGTGTCACTGTAGCCACCGCCTGTGTCACTATAGCCACCGCCCGTGTCACTGTAGCCACCACCCGTGTCACTGTAGCCACCACCAAATCCGCCCACAAACATCATCCCCACCACTAACAACGCAGCCTTGCACAGCCAGCTCCGCAGCTTCTGTTGATGCGCCCGCAGTTAGTACATATCTTGCATTCTCGACAACCTCCCACAATAGCCCCCGCCCCCCCCCCCCCCCCCCCCCCGCCCGCCCCCGCCGCCGCTCTTCCAACCCCCTTTTCTGCCCCTAGCCCCGTCCCTTGCACCCCCAGCCCCCTCCTCTGCTCCCCCCACACATCTTCACACCACAGCCAACCTAGTCCCCTCCCCTGCTACCCCAGCCCCCACTGCTTCTCAACCCCATCACCAGCCCATCTACTCCAACGCCGCCCAGAACTGCCAAAACTTGACTTCACCGACTCCACTCATCGCAGATCCGAGATGGAGATGAAGTAAGGAGAAGAAAACGATTTAGGCGGCAGAGATGGCGATGCGATTTCACACGGAGGCGATGGGAGAAGATGGAGATGACAGAGAGTTTGTTGGGAGACGAGCGGCGAGCGCAGATTTGCAAATCTGCAGCGATGAGCGAACTGCGGTGATGAATAGATGGAGACAGAGGATTTAGAGGCGGCCGTCCCTGGTGGCTGGCATAGGCGAGGCGGAGATCTGGTCGGCAAAGGAGCTTGTGCGAAAGTATTCAAAGCTGCAACCTGTACGGCAAAGGAGCTTGTCCTGCACGGCGAAGGAGCCTCTGCGGAAGTCTTGTGCGTAACGTGAAAGCAACGGAAGTGCGGGATTACGGGATATGTTGAAGGAGTCAGTTTTATGGGATTTTTTAAAATGGTCATAATTTAGTCTAAGAGAAGTTGAGAAGTAATATTGAGGCCACTACTATCAAATAGGCCCCCGTACTATAGTGGCAATGACAATTAGGCCCTTGTACTTAAAAACACCCCATTGAGCCCCCGAACTCTTAAAAATTGATCAATTTAACACTTAAGCATGTAAGCTTCAGGTTCCAGGTTAAACAGTCCACATGGCAGCCAATGTGGATTTCTTTTTCTTTTCCTTTCCTTTCTTTTTCTTTTCCCTTTTTTTCTCCTTTCTCTTTCTCTTTCTCTTTCTCTTTTCCTCTTTCTTTCTTCTCTTCTGCCCAGGCCCTCTGTAGACCTCTTCCCAGCAGGCAACAACATTGCCGGTCACCTCCCTTATGCCGCTGGCCACTGAATTTACTTTCCCGCTCCACCTCCCAACCGGCGACGACCTCACCTGCACCAGTGCAATTAGCCGTCCTACGCACCGTCGCCGACGATATCCCTCAGCCGACGGACTCCACTGATTCACTTCAATTCGCCGCCGGACATCACTGTACTCAGCCACCGCCCTTTCACTGAGTTAGACGCCGCCCTTTACTACACTTAGGCACTTAGTCAGCGCCCTTCACTCCAGGAATCCGGCGATGGATGGCCGGCCACGAACTCCGACTCCGGCGATGAAGGTCGTAACCCTGGAAGATGGTCGTAAGTCCCCGAAGGTGGCGGCCCAAGTCCTTGGCGGTGGGGTCAAACATTGAATTCCTCCCGTTGACCAAACCTGTGTGTGCGAACGGAGAAACCAGTGTGCGCGAACGGAGAAGGAACGGAAGAGAGTGTAAGAAAGAAAGAAAAAGATAGAGAAAAAAAGGAAAAAGGAAAAGAAATCCATATGGGCTGTCACGTGGTTCGCCACATTGACTGTTTAACCTGGAACCTGAAGCTTACCTGCTAAAATGTTAAATTGATCTATTTTTAAGAGTTGAGGGGCTCAATTGGGTGTTTTTCAAGTACGAGGGCCTAATTGCCATTTTCGCTAATAGTATGGGGGCCTATTTGATAGTTTTCCCTTCTTTTTTAATGAATTAAGGAAGCATGTATGAAAAATTGAAAGATGGCATGTGCAAGGAGTTTTTTTGGTACTAGTTTGTTGAAGTGTACTGCACTGCTAGGCTTGTCAATGGACCGGAGATAGACCTATTACACAATTCTATGCGTTAAGGACTCTACAGAAGTAAGAGTGTACAATCATGTTTTCTTTTGGACTATTTTTAGTCCCAGACCAGATCAGACCAACCAGGCTAGAACTGATCAGATCAGATCAGACCAGACTAGACTTCAGTAGTTATAAAATACACAGAGATCAGACGTTTACCAGATCGGACTAGACCAGTTCAGACCAAACCAAACCAGCAAATTTCAGTCCAAAAGAAAACATCCTAACTGTCAATGAAAAAAATTAAATCCACTAATTGTCCTCAGTTCTCAGCCTTCCTCGACATTTTCTTCTACTGTTCTGGCAGCTTTAGGGGTTGCACCTATTTTTACTTGGACACCGACGGCGCCGACTTTACGACCGATGAACTAGCAGCCTTCACAGCGCCCAGACTCGTCGCACGCAGACTCCAGCACCACTGGAGGGCACCGGTTAGCTGGGCCCACGTTGTCAGGCAGCCCAGGCTTGCAGCTGCCATCCGCCAGAATAATTGGCAGACTGTCCACCACTCCTTCGTTGCCCACGTCCTTCGCATCTCTTGCTCAAGGAATGACCTTTGAGGCTTCGATCAATTACTCAAATTGTGACCTCCAAAATTGGTGGCTGTTGAAGATTACCTGTCCTGACGTACTCAAATTAAATCCTTTTTCGTGCCTAACGGTCTTTTGGGCATTCTTGATGGGTCCCTTCCAGTCCCGCCTCTATATATCTATGGTTTATATCAGGCTCAAACCGTTAATCCTGAATATTATCATTGTTTCAAATTGGACCAAATTGTTCGTGCTTGGTTATTTGCAACTCTTTCTCGTGAAACTTTGATGGAGGTTCATACCTTGAAGAATTCTTTGCAATTTGGCAACGTTTGGAATCCCGATGTATGGGTGTAAGTCTAGCATGCTCCATGGAATTAAAACATATGTTGTCTCACACTAAGAAGAAGGAGAACCAGTCCATGGAGGAATATGTTCATGGGATTCAAACCAATGCTGGCAACTTAGCCTCCATTAATTTGCTGGTCTCCAATGCTGATCTTATTCAACATACACTTTTGGGATTGGGACCCGGGCTATGAGTCGCTAGTGGGACCCCTTACCTTGTTTCCCGAAGGACTCACTTTTGACTTATTATGCACAAAATTGATCCATCAAGAGGCACGTCTACGCTACCAACGGGTCCTTGGAACCAACGATTACTGCTCCGGCGTTTGCCGCACCTTCTTCGGTAGGGGGTGAGCGTGTGGCTTCTTCCTTTGGCGACCAGCAGCAGCCGACCCGAGGGGATCGTGGCGGACGGCGCGACAACCGAGGTCAGGAGCGTGGCCGCGGCAGATACCAGCCACAGCAGGGGTCTGTTACTCCATTAGGAATACCTTGCTGAGGTCAATGTTTTTCAATCACAGCCTATTTATACTCATTAGAGTATTAGATCCCAAAGTAAAAATTCCACATGTGTGTGTATGTGTGAGTTGCAATTGTGGATTAAACAATTAAAGCACATATAAATCCCAAACTATTCTTGCTCTTGCTGTTCATCATGAAGGGCGGTCTATTGGTAATAAGCTTGATTCATCGTGCCGTTCGATCGGTGTTGGAGGGCCCTCAAGGATGGGGTGTCATCCTTTTTTTTTTGTAATAAGCTTGATTTAATAAATGCTGTTAACAATGAGGTTCATGAATCATGATCAGTATGCTTATATTTATTGAATAACCGCTTGTGTATCTTGATACTCGGTTTACTAATAATAATCACGTTTGCCGCTTATGAAAGGCCGTTTGCGGTCTTAAACTACCACCCAGTTCTGAGTTCAATTTATTTTCTCCAAATAAAATTATTAGAAGTCATACCAAATGAAATGTGCATACACCCTCCGTCCCGAAAAGGTTCATCAAATTGACTTTTCTTGATCAATGATATTTTTCATACGTAAATATTTTGAATATGAAAATTATATCAAAATGTTTCTTATTCAAAATATTTTTCATAAAAGTATAAAATTTATACATTATAACATTTCATTTTCATTTACCCCAGTGCCGCAAAGGCTCCCACCTACGGTGGGGTAAAGGGGGGTCGGATGTACGCAGTCTTATCTCTGTACTAAAGCACAGAGAGACTGTTTCCGGATAACCCATAGTGAAAATCGCGTCCAAAATTGCATGGACTGACTGATGCTTCATAACAAAGAAGCGCAGACAATTTAGTGAGCCATTTTGCTTTATTCCATCATATTCTCAGACCAAAAAATAATGAATCTTTGGCTCCATTGCAAATAATGATTTTTTTTTATAAATTATATACAAATATAATAATTAAAATCATTGTTCAAAGTTAATCATCATCAATCAAGAAAAGTCAATATTGTGAACTTTTTCGGGACAATTGCATTAATGAAAAAGATTGAGAGATCTAGTGTAGTCTGGGTGGCACCAATATGCCCGCCTAGGTGAGCTAGCTACGCAACTAGCCCTTTTGTGAACAATAGTTAGAACTCGTACTAATTAATTAACCCAAATCCGACGACGGTAGTAATAAATAATTTTGAATCTAAAATTCAATGACACTGGATGGGATCTAGGTGACAATTACTAGTAGCTCATCATTTGTATATTGTTAATCAAGTCCTTGATTACTAGCTAGTGTGGGAAGTAGTCGTGCAGGAATGATCGCAAAGCATCATTATCTTGTATGATCTCATCACACAAGTCAAACTGATTAGCTAGGGTGTCTTCCTTTTTTTGCTCTTCATCTTTTAAATTATGACGTTTTCTCTCGGCCTGATACATCGCTATCTTTTGTTCCACTCTCCCGTCATATGCCATTCGAAGTTCATCTAAATAAATCGTCAACTCTTCAATTTTGCGCCTATCTTCCAACAGTTTTAGGATAATCTTTTTTCCCCGTCCACATATTTCACGCCTTGGCCCGTTCACGCATCCACTGGACGCTGACATTATTGTTGCTATAATAAATCATATACGATCTTGTTTAGAAAATGATACTCGTATATATTAATTGCAATAAAGGCCGAGGACTAATGTTGCAAAACTAGTAAAATGCTATCGAATTTCATTAGCACAACTGCACAAGTCAATAAACCAAATAAATAATGCTACTCTCCTCTCCAAAAGAGTCATGTATTGTATGTAGTCAATACTACTAGTCATTAACTTTATTCGCTCCGTAGGTACAATTCAAGTATATACTCCCTCCTCCTCAAATCTCCTATAGATAATTAATTCAATTTTTAATAATTAAAATTTATGTATTCAGAAACTACATTATTTAAAATCTCTTCGAAGTTTCAAACTCCAAATTAGAATATAATTAAAAATTGACATCCTAATTAAGCAAATAAAATGAAACTGTTTGACCAAGAAAAGTCAAATTTGAAAATTAATTTGGGACGGAGGTAGTATTGAAAATCATGTTGTAGCTTTTAGCCATACTTTTATATTGATGTGCTAATCTAACTAAATCTAATATATTTACCTACCTTTGTGAAACACCATTAGAATACATTACATATAGTAACACCTGCTTGTTTTTCTGTAATTGATACTACGTGTGATTCTTTTGGGACAATATTCAATTCCCAAGGACTATTTGTCTTAGACGAATAGACGGGAAATAGTCTGGTATAGTAAACAATTGTTGCAATAAACAAAGAAAGTATAAGTAAAAGAATATGCATATATCGAATTGCCAACAATTAATTAAATTACTAAGAATACAGTGCACATATACCTTCGGTCGCCTGTTGAACGATCAGCAGTGGACTAGAATTATATATGTCTGAGAAATTGAAGACTTGAAGACTTTAAGTATACCATTTGTGTATTTAAAGACACGCACCAACACACTGACTTAAGGCATAGGAAACTTATTGGAAATTTCAGCATATTGTGTTGGGACACTGAGGGCCAGGCCAGGGTGTGAATGGTAAACTTAATTTAGACGATATTGTTCAACTTTCAAATTTAAAATGCATGGGAAGTTATTGTAACATGAATTATGACTAGTATACGATCAAAATGAATATAACGTGGAAACATAATTTTTTTTTGGATTGGTCATACCAATAATACATTTTTAGTGAATTTGATTATGTTCTACTTAGGGAGTCAGGGACGGAGTAAGGGCAATGGACTGGACTGGATCAATACAAAGAATATTTTTGAAAAATAATTAGACAAGATCTTTTACTATCAAAATTTAGGCATTTTTTAATTTGTGTTGGATTGGGACCTAAGTTGGCACCCATAGATCTGCCAGGGTTATACTGTATACACTAGTGTTCATAACGGTATATTTATAATAACTTTAGTTACATTTTTATCTATACATTTATTTTAGTAATATTTTCGGAAAAGCTTCTTTCATATAGTTTATATACTACCTCCACACTTCAAAGAACTTGCTCGTTTAACACACTAAGAAAATAAGAGTTTTTATCTTGGCTAAAAAAAAGAGTTTTTTTCTTTGACTTCTAGCTTAAAATGTTCTTTTTACTAAGAGTAAATATTACGTATGTATATACACGTTTTTGTTTTACTTCTATCGGACTCTGGAGTTTGGGTTGGGTGATGGAAAGTCTATTTTGACCGTCTTTGGATCAATTATGCACCTTATAGGATCAACGAGTCATATTGCTTTTTGTAAAGTGATTGTCTCTGAGTATAGTTCGAGGGCTAGCAGTTGGGAGGGAACTTTTTGTCGTTTGTTTACTTTCCCTAGTTTCTAGTTATTTAATATAAGCCACTTTCTTTATGATAAGTAAAAAAAACACTAAACACTTCCAAATAATACTTCATTAATTTTTTTTAGATGTTTTTATTACATCTAAAAGATATATTGATAAATGAGTTTTAGGAGAGTAATATAGTAATCCCAATCCAGATAAGAATAAAAAAAATCACACTGATATTTTTAAAGTGATATTCGGGGAGGAGCACTACAAACTCAGACATATTTTCGTGCTTTTAAAAAGAGGCGTAATTTGTTATTCTAGTCCAATAATTTTCGATTGTGTCCACTTTTAGCTATAACTTTACTTACATATAGATTTGATTATGTAATTAATAAAGTTGTCCATATTTAAGACGGTTTCACCAGAAAAACACATCCCAGCAAAAAAACATGTGCCAGTGTGTAACACCCCCAAATTTATACCCAAAATAGATGCTAAATATAGCAAGTGTAGAAAGAATTTCCCAAAATATTCAATTCAAAAGAGTTTAAATTGCAGCGGAAGCATAATATTCAATGGGGTGTTACCGCCACACTCGGTTCTCACTTAACCGAATGCACAGGCTAAACCACCATCCAAAAATAGTCCAAGTATTTAAAGATTTAAATCTCGAAAACAAATTTAATGACTACATGTTCTCAAATTGAAATAAACCATAACTAGGTGATCATAGATACTAAACTACGTGATCTAACGCAGCTCTCAACGTCAAGCATAACCTTCATCACTTGCACAATTAAAGTGCAAAAAAACAAAACAAAGAAAAAGAAACAAAAATTAGCTTTTTAGCTAAGTAAGACCCACCCAACCCCGTAAAATAATATAATTTGCCAAAAATAAGTTTTTGTACATAATATAATCTCAAAAATCCATATACTCCCAAATTACTCTTTTTGAATCTAAAACAATCTTTAACATGTAAAATAACATTTAAAAACCAATAATATATATCCATAATTCGAGTACAAACTTACAATTGAAATAATATTTCTAATACGTCAAATAATTCACATCCCAACATATGAGTAAAATATCATTACCACAATATCACATTCCAAAATTTCCGCATTCCAAAAGGTCACCTTCCAAAAGAAAAATTCTCCAAAAATAGATTTCTAAAAATATATCACACCCACAATATAACTTTTCAAGGATACATCTTCCCTAAAATATAAGTCTTCAAAAATACAACTATAAACAACATAGTTTTCCAAGAGTGTTTAACCTTCCAAAACGAATCATTCCACCAATACCACTTCCCCCCCCCCCCCCCAAAAAAAAATATAATTAAACCTCAAATTTTTCGGTGATTACCGACCCACCATAAAAATTCATTCAATAATAATCCACCAGAATCACTTTAAGTAAGAAAGACACTTTTGTACAAATCCATATTCCAATACTACTTTTCCAAAAACATACTTAATGCTCATCCACCAAAACTCATATCCCCTGGTTGTTTCTAGATTCTTTTAAGGATGGGGGAGCTCCCAAAAAGAGAACCCGAACCAAACGAATACGTGGTCACCAACTACCACGCATCACCCCAGGTCTCCTGAACGGTTGCACAAGCTACTAAGGTCACCTATGAACCGTCCGATCAACCCGGACCCCACCACCCACCAATTGGAAACTTAACTTCTACCTTAAGTGTTCACACCCTCTAAAAGGGATTCCAAGCCCTTCGAGTAGTAAGAAGTCCAAGTAGTCGAGACCAGCTAAGTCTCTACCGACTACCCAAGAAAAAGATAAAAGTGGTCTAGGTGCTACTACTACCACAAAATCCGAAACCAACAATAATAATAACATCCAAGTATCCAAAACCACCAAAGAAACCATCCACCAGATAATAGTAGCACTACCCCAGACCACAGTTCTACATTTAACCGGATGTTGAGCCGAACACCACGGATTACTCCCAGGTGCTCAAAATATCCAGAAATCGTTAATTACAATTTGGCAAAAGATTTGATACCCCACTTTACAAAAATAGCATTTACCACCACCACCACCAATGTAGTTCATATATTGCTCCACTTGTCATTATGAACATGTAGTTCATAGATTACCCGATTATCATCTTGAACATCTAGTTCATAGATTACTCACATATCACTTAACCTCAAAGTGCCTTCTCATAATATTTATTTCAGATTCATGTCTCAAAATCATATGCCAAACATCTCCGATTCAAAGTCAAAGTTCACAAATTAGAGTTTAACCAAAACTAGTTCCAAAATAGTATTTAATACCATATTCAAAATAACCCAATAAGGATATTTATAACTCCAGAATATATATAAAAATTCACACCAAATTATACATTTAAAAGAATATAATTTGTCCCAAAAGATTTGGTCTCACAATACTTTCCAAAAATAGGGTTTAACTCAAACCACCACTTTCCAAAAGTAGCATTTACTACCACCACCAAAATAATCCAATTGGGATATTATAAATCCATAATATACTTTCACAATAACTAATTATAATAATCTCAAATCATACTTCAACTCATACCAAAACAATCACCACAATTTTCTAATTCAAAGGACAATTCCTCAAAAAACACAATTTTTGCCATATTAAACGGATTTGGTAAATTCACCAAAAGTCACACGTTCATAAATTCCAGAAAATCATACATCATCATATCTATAATTTAATAACCGAAATATTCATAAAAGTTCACAAAGAAACTTAAATCATAGCACAAACCCTAATTAATACATAATAGAGGCAAAATAGTAGTTTTGGTTGCAATAGTCCTTACCTCGAGGCTAGCAACGAATCCTAAACGTCAAACCTAGCTTGAGAAGTCACTCACACGTCCCTAGGAATTTATAGGGTCGAAGGATCATAATTTAGGAGAAAGAAATCAAGAAAACGGATGAACGATGCGAATTAGGCAACAAAAACGCTTACCGGAAGATTAGATTGTTTGATCTCGTCCTTGGACTCAAAAATCGTGTTGGATATGTTAATATTAAAGTTATGAAAGATATAGAGCTTGAAGAGGCGGTTCTAGGGTTTTTGGAATGAGGAAAATCAGATTAGGGATGTATTTATAGTGAATTTCCGAAGTTTGGTCGAACAAGGACAAATCAGGGACGCACGACCGCGCGTACCTCCACGCACGACCGTGCGTGGCTGGCAGTAGCTATTACGCTCAAATTTCATGCCACGCACGCCGTGCGTGACCCCCAGACGTCCGAAACTTTAGTTTTTGCTCCGTTTCTTCTCCATTTGGACCTCCCCTTGATCCGAAACACTAAACCAACCATCATAAACTATCTAAAGACCATCTAAACGATACGAAACACAATTTTAATTACTTCTCAAATTTTCTCAAAATTTTGGGGCATTACACAGTGGATGTCATCGTGTCAACTTTTTCATCGGAATATTTGCTTTTCGATGAAAAGATCCTTGAGGTGAATAAATTTATTATTTATCAGACCATATGTACAAGTGAATAGAGTTACAAAATAAACAGGCACCATACAAAGTTATGATGCTAAATTTACACTTTTCTCTACACGTAAACAAGTAGTTATGTAACCCTCATTACATGAAAGAGGGTAAAACCCTATTTTAATAAGTTAGGGTTAAGTATACTAAACTTGAAGAGGAGTCAATGATATTTTACCTTTATTTAATGTTGATCAAATTTATTCTCATTCGTATTGAGACTTGAATAAATTTTGGAGAGTTAAGTTGGCTAAACTTCTTTCCTCTTCTTCTTCCTTCTTTCCTACTCTTTTTTTCTATCTTGTTAAATTACCTTATATACATAGTACCCCATCTTCACCATCATCTTATATAACCATATATCGTCACCTTCATTTTTGTTCAAAAGATGTTTGAAAGTCATCAAGTCACAAGAAAGTCGCTGGAAAATTAGAGATTAATGGCTACCGAATTTTTTGTCTATATGATACAATTCATACAAAAGTATTGTTTTTGTCATGTTGAATAATGACAATATTTGTCCGTATGGAAAACAAAACTAAAAAACTGGTACCCTTTTATAAAATTTCACCACGAAAAAAAATGTTTGTATATAGGCATTAGTTTAATTTATTATTTTAGGTGTAAGTTAAAATTTCACCATGGCTTGTACCTGTCACTAACTACAACAATTACC